AGACGGAAAGGAAAGGAAAGAGAAAGAAAGGAAAGGCGAAACAGAGAAAGCAAGAAAGGAAAGACAAAAAGGAAAGGAAAGGAAGAGAAAAAGAAGGAAGAATGGATGGAGAGAGAGAGAGAAGGGAAGGAAACAAGAGAAGAGGAAAGAAAACAGAAAGGGAAAGAAAGCTTTTAGATAAAAGGAGAGAGAAGAGAGAGAGAAAATAAGAAACGACTTAAAAGAGAAAGAGAACAGTGATTCCTCCTGACAGGCATCTGGCCCAGAGGCTGAAGCGATCTCAGGAATACCGGTGGATTTAAATCTTTAAAGGTAGGGAAGGCTTTCAAGAGGAGGAGGAGGAGGAGGAGGAGGAGGAGGAATAGGAAAAAAAGAGAGGCAGGAAACATTGCCTCCGAGCTGATATTTACATTATAACCAGGGCAGAAAGGAAAGGAAACACACGTACAGGATGCGATGGAAAGATATCCAAGAAGCTGCAGCCGGCTTTAACGGAAGACAAATGTCGCTTTTTTTTTTTTAAAAAAAGAAAATATTATTATTATAAAGTTCAAATATTCACGAAAGAGCCCCAGAAGAGGGTTTTCCCTGCCATTCCCCCACAAATAAATTTGCTATCCCTTTTTCCTGCCCCCAATGAAGACCCCCCGACCCGACCCGAAGTGGGTCGGTCTACGAAAGTCTTCTTGTATAAATGGAACTTCCACCTCAGCAGCAGTCTACCTCTGTGTGGCGACACGACCTTTGACTTATTTATTTATATTTCTAAACCGCCCGTCGTCTTAAATAGTAGCTTTGAATCCAGACTTTGGGATAAGAGAAGATGTCTCACCCCTCCACCCACACCCCCAACTAAATTCCAGTGAAACCAATCTGCATATATATCCTTCAAATAATATTTCTGAGTCAATATCCCACCCTCAAATAGTAACTTTAAATCCAAACTTTGGGAGTTCTCACCCCTCCACCCATACCCCGCAAGTAAATTCCAATTAAACCAAAAGAGGCACAATCTATATATAAACTTAATATTTCCGAATCAATATCCCGTCCTTGACCCCTAACCCAGACCTGGGCACAGAAACGCAGCGGACCCAACGTCTCGCTCTTTTTTAGAGGAGCCTCCAGCACCAGGAGCAGTTTACCAGCAACTTGCCTCCCACCAGGCATGGCTTGCTGATCGGCGTCCTTACCTGCGGGAAATCATTGCAGCGGCTTCTGCCGGGTTGAAACAAACTCCCTTGTTCCCCGGCCCGGAGGAGAAACACGCGTCTCCCCTTCGGCAGCCCCGGAATCGCTCGCTGAGAGCAGCTGGGAGCCGAAGGGAACGGCCGCCCCAGACAACAGCCTTGCCCCAGGCCGCGCCCCCTCCTCTGCCATATAGGGCAAAGCCTACCGCCCCGTCCCGACGACGCCCGAGCCCCCCATTGGCCGAGACACGCCTCTCCCCCGCCCAGCCGGCCGCTTTGGAAAACCCTCGTGTCAGCCGAGGGGAAAGACGCTTCTGGCCCAGTGACGTCATACCGAAGGGAATCCCCGCTCCACCAATCAGCGCCGCCTGGCAACAGGCACCGCCCTTAGCAGTGGCGGGCGCGCCTTTTAAAGAGACAGCTCTGGCTTTCATTCAAAATAAAAATAAAAGAAAATAATAAAAGAAAATATAAAAAATGAAAGAAAATAATAAATAAATGAAAGAAAATAATAACATAATATATAAATAATGAAATGAAATAAAATGAAATGAAATAAAATAATAAATAAAATAAAATATCAAAAAATCCCACCTGACTGGAGATTTTACAGTCTCCTTCCCTTGCCACGCCCACCAAGCGATGCCCACAGAACCAGTAGTAAAACAATTTCAATCCCATCATTGGACTGGTGGACTTCAACTCCCAGAATTCCCCAGCCACCATCCAGCTTAAAGTGATTTTTGATTGAGAAATACTGATGTAAAACACTGGATTCATGATGAACGCATCTGTGACGACTACAATCATGATTTATCACTTATACCTTTTATGTACCAAAGACAAATTCCTTGTGTGTCCAATCACACTTGGCCAAAAAAGAATTCTATTCTATTCTATTCTACCATATTTTATTCTTCTATATTCTATTCTTCTATATTCTATTCTATTCTATTCTATTCTATTCTATTCTATTCTATTCTATTCTATTCTATTCTATTCTATATTCTGCTTCTTTTTTTATTCTATTCTAGTCTTCTATATTCTATTCTGCTTCTATTCTTCTATAGTTTCTATTCTATTATTTATTCTATTCTATATTCTATTCTGCTTTTCTGCTTCTATTCTATTCTATTCTGTTCCAGCCAACATTGTCCCATCTTTCAGGAGCCCTAACCCCAACGGGGAACAACCCTCCCTGGAAATTCAAGGCAGACCCGGTAGCCTCAGATGGCTCAGCTGCTCCCATGATGGAATTCCTCTGAGTTCAAAGCCTTCCTAGGATTCTAACCTGATCTGTAGATTGCTGGAAACCGTCTTCGAGCCAAGAATCACAAAAAAAAATTACGCCCAGCACCGATGCAGAATGGCCGGCCGGCTGAGTGGTTTCTGTTTTGTTTTCCTCCTGGTCTTTCTAACCAATCCTTTTCCGCCGGAGAAGCTCTACCTGTTGGAATGAATTCTCGCCTGTAAGCCCTGCAAAGAATATTTTGCGTTGGTTTTTTAAAAAAATAAAAATAAGAAAGACACACTTGGGAAGTGGAGAATTGACGTTTCTACCCTGGCTTGGATTGATCGCTGTGTTTGGGGGTGGGTGGGAAATCCCCACCTTTGGAAGGGATTCCAAGGGATCTCATGGAGCTATAATAAGGCAAGCTTGGGACTATAGGGGAACCCCAGAAAGGGAGTCGGCAATGAGCTCAGAAGACTATTTGGCAACTGTGATGCCTTCTCATTCTTGACCAGGCCGTAAGCTTCTACCCCACAGGGATCTCTGAACTCTTTCGGCTCAAACTGAGGATCCTTTGTGCCTCCAAACTTCTTTTTTTTTCTGTTCTTAAAAGAGGAAGAGAATAAAATAGCTCCTTTCTCTTATCTCCTTCTGAATTTTTGCAGCTGAGTCACGCAGTCTGAATCGCCCGGGGCTAACCCGGCATGGAAACTGTCCGGAGCAAAAGGAATCTCACTGGACTTCCAGCTTTCCTTCTATTAGCCAGAGTCCAGCCCAACAGGCTATTTTGAACCGTTGGGGTGGGGGCAACTAAGCCACTTGCATTTGGGCAGCTAGTGTACAGGAACTTATCTAGAGACACAATAGCAAAACCTCCCGGTCCTATTCCTATCCTATGAATGCAAACATGCTTGTGAAGAAGGCACAGAAGAGGCTGTCCTGTCTGAGAATGCTCAGGAAGATATAAATCTATCTCAGCATCTACTCTGAGAGTGTCCCGACATACGGCATTCTTGCATGGTATGGGAGCAGTTCTTTAGCGGACAAAAAAGCTCTACAGAGAATCATTAAAACTGCCCGGAATATCATTGGGCTCCAGCTATCAGCCCTTCGCCTCTCGCCGTTTGAGGAAGTCGCACGACATCCTCAGCGACTCTTCCCATCCTGCTCACAATCTTTGCGAACTCTTTGCCTTCTGGCAGAAGATACAGAACCATTAAAACTCGGAACCCAGGCATTTTCTGAGCAATTTTTATCCCAGAGCTATAATGACACTTAACAACGAACTTAAGGACCGCCATCAGTGAGCTGTTGGGCAGGATTACTTGGTCTGTTGTGCGGATGCTTGTGTGTTTTTTGGGGGGGACGGGGAATTTTGGCAGGTGGGGTGTGTGTGTTTGGGGATTGTTATGTGTGTGTGCATGTTGAGTCTGGTCTCTGGGTGTTGTGTGAATCTCATTATATGTGTATACTGTGTAGATACGTACAATGACAATAAAGAATTCCATCTATTTGAGTGATTCTAATGCACTTAAAACAAACAATCCGTCAGCCCAAACCAAGGCTTTTTGGAGAAGAAAGCTCAGGACGGAGACTCACGCAGAGATACAACCCTCAAAGGGTGGCATCTCACGCAACAAGGCCCATTTTGCACTTTTTTTTTTCTAGATTGCAAATTCAGAAGCTATCCATTTTGTCCCCATGTCTCCAGGCAGCTTTGGATGCAAAACATCTAAGATGGTCAAAAGGGAAGAACTTTTTGTCTCGTTTTCCTCCGAGGAAAGAAGACAACGCAAAAAACTTCACTTTTTGTACCGAACCAAGCAAAACAAAAACAAGAGATGGGTCATTAAACGTTCTCCCACTGCCCGTTCTTCTACTTTCGCCCTGGCATGAGCCAGATGTTTTCATCTGATGCCAGCGAGGCCAGCTGCCGCTCGGCTCTCTCCGCCCTGCTTTGCGTCATTCATCACAAAAGAGTGCTTGGATGTTACAAGCTGGCAGTACAAGGCACCCTTTGTTCGGGGAAGCAGATTTTTCCACAAAACAGGCCACCCTAAGTGGGATTTGATCTTAGATCTTATCCTTCAGCCCCACCCAGGTTAAGGGAAGAAGGAAACTTCAGAACAAGCCACCTGCAAAGTTGGAAGCTCCGTTGAGTTCGCGAGACGCAAACGCTGGAGAGAAGCAAAACTCGAGGAGGGTGATCAAACAGGGGTGGGGTTGTGCAGAGGGAAACGTAAAAGCGGGGAGTCATCTCTGCAAGCAGAAAGCTAGCTCTCCTTGGAGCAGAGCTCAGGAAGCTAGCTTTTTAGCTGCGGGGACAGAAGCAGCTGCTTTATAACAATCTAGATGACTGTCTGGATTCTGCAGGAAGGGAAGTTTCTCCAGCCCTTTGTAGAAATGACTGAAACCAAATCTGGGGCCTTCTGTAATTTTTTCACCCATCTATGGATTTTCCCCCTCAACGAATGATTTGATTCACGTGCTCTTTGTTGCTCATTTGCAAAGCTGGTGCCAAAAATCTCCTGGCCATGTAAAGGCACACATCAAGGTTGCAAAACAGGACTGAAGAACCTCAGCAATCCTATTTTAACACTCTCTAGCTGGACGGCAAGGAAGATTATCTGCCTTGGCCACTTCTTGGATTCGAGTCCTCAAGGATGTGGGTGGACATCCTTTGATGTTTGTCTATCACCCCCCCCCCATTTCTATTTTATTCCGTCACCACCCACCACCCCAACAATTCAACAGGACCCACGAAACGTCCCCAAGCGAGTCGAGTCGATCTGGGTCCAGATAACCACAAGTAGGTGTGTGTGGCACTCCAAAGGCTGCAGTTCATCCCGGTGCCTTTGGCACTATCTAATCTCACGCAAGTCCCTTGAGGTGATTCCCGGAGTTTTGGGTGACAAAATACAATGATTTTCTCTGAATTCTATTCCCCCCCCCCCCCCTTCAGCAAACGAGATGCAAATAACCGGAGGAAAAATTAAAGCCAAGTTGTTCTCCGTCCACGCAGATGACACTGGAACCAGATGGGGCAAAGCTGCAATTCACACCCAAGTGTGAATAAAAAGGGGATTGATTTTTTAAAAAAATAAATAAATCCGGAGCCCTTTCCCAAACCAGACCCTTCGCAAATAGCCCCCCAAAGGGCTTCATTTAGTGGAATTGCAAAGGGCATTTTAGCCAGGTTCCAAAGAGCCCTGCGGAGGGTAGAGATTCTCCGCTGCATTTAAGAACCACCCCAAAAGTTTATTTTCCTGGAAATTTCCTGCAGGTGTTGGAAGCCAACCCCCCCCCCTCCCCTCCCGCCATAACACCTAGAAGTTGGCTTGGGAGTTTGTCTTGCTTTGAAAAAAAAAAACCATGAAGATGCCTTGTTTCCCTTTTCTTTTTTTAATGTTTATTTTCATTTGAAACACACGGCTGTCCTGTTTCCTTGTGTTTGTCCCCTAGCACCACAGAAACGTCAGCGTGAATGGGATTGAAATCAGTAAAAGGGGCGTCCCCGGTAATCAAAGAGTTCAGTCCCGGGGAGTAACGATTTTTGAGGGTATCTGGGCCAGTTCTTTCACATTTAGGGAGGCGGCCCTTTTTCCTAGCGTTTCCCAGCTGTTTGGGAACATGGGAGTAGCATGGAGCCCAGGCCACACGGAGAAATACGGCCACTGTGTTCTTCCACGGATATTGTTCTCCTCCAAGTACGTCCAGAAGGGCACCCCAAATCCAGTCTTAGAATTCCAGCTGAAGGCATGTCCATACTCGGGTCTCCGGGAGAGGGAAGGAGGACACCAATTGGGACCCTAAATTCAGAGTCACTGCCAAACTAGATGAGGCCAAACTCCCCATCGCATCGGGCGGAAAGGGAAGTGTGCGGCCTGCTCAGAAGCTGTTCGGCCCGTTTGGAGGCTCAGTGGGAAAAATTGGGTTTTTCCGGCCATTTTCAAAGAAGGATAGCAATAGCAAACAGCACTTAGGCTTCTATACTGCTTCACAGTCTTCACAGCTCCTTTCGAAGCAGTGCACAGCCTATTCCCTCCAACAATCTGGGTCCTCGTTTTACCCACCTCGGAAGGACGGAAAGCTGAGCCAACCTTGAGCCTGGTGGGATTCGAACGGGCAAATTGCGGTCAGCCGGCAGTCAGCAGAAGGAGTCCTGCACTCTGACCTCTGCGCCACCATGGCTCGTAAAATGTAGCATAAAACGTTGGCTGGGGCATTCTGGACATTGAAGCCCACCCATCTTACAGAATAAGTGTTGGAAGGGACCCCAGGGGGTCATCTAGTCCAACCCCCTGCGCAAGCAAGAGACCCTATACTATTACGGACAGCTACCTGTCCAATGTCTTCTTAAAAGCCTCCAGGGATGGAACACCCACAACTTTTGAAGGCAAAATTAACTTTTTTCTCACCATCAGGAAATTTCTACACTGGGCAAGTTTGAAAAACAGGCCGGTAACAACAAGTTTCTATTTTTCAGCGCCTTTATGATGGCTGCAATAATTCCTGGGAACTGTTTTGAGTTGGGGTTTTTTTGGGGGAGAGGGTTGAATGACCACAGGGAATAAATTCAAACCGCACCCCCAAGTATCCCTTTCTTTGCCTGAATAACTCACCCAAGCCACAAGCTTTTCTAAGTAGGTATGTTTCAATGAAGGAAGAACAGAGCTGGATTAAAAAAATAACCGAGAAAAGAAGGTCTTGCTGCTTCTCTCGTAAGCAACCAAGGAGGCGAGGAAGAGGAGTCGTATTAACAAAACAGACACAAGACATTTAACAGTCCAAATCCAGCCTCGGTCAGCTTACTTAGTTGCCTTTTTCAGCCAACCTGAACTGGAGTTTGCCAGTTTTCTCCACAATCCAAATTCTAGACGTTGTAGAGCATCCGTGACAGAGTGATTTCTTTTTTGCTTTCTGTGAATTTTATACCGCTCGCCATCCCAAGGAAAAGGAGCTCCAAATTTCCTGCTAAGGACATCCCCCAAATGGAGAGAGGATTTGGAATGTAGGAGAGAGTGTGTGACAAAGTCACCGGATTCTGGCTGTACATATCACACCATAGAAATATATATGTATATATTTATAGATAAGATAAGATAGGTGTGTATTTTTCCCCCCTCCCCGCAAGAGTGTCGTAGATGAGTCATGAGAAACAAACTGGGGAGGCTATGCGTGCGTTATGTACACATGTATGAAACGGGGAACTCAAGTTTTAGGCCTGGCCTACACCTCTCAGGGACGGTGAGGGAAGAACGGTGAAACCTCTGAACGTGTTTTTCTTCCATAAAAGACCAAGTCAACCAGGCAGAGAGGCGCCTAAGACAGCCTGGGCCTGGATTTAACCATGGTTACCGTTCTGCAATGTCTCCAAAATTATTTTGCATGGTGGATGATTAGCTTGGCGTGGTGACCTTAGGTAGTAGCATCGAAGCATCTGGGGTCCGGGCTTATAGATAAAACTTTCCTGAGCCCGTCGCTAGTTTATCTTTTGTGAATGATGAAATCTGGATCAGGAAGGTAAGGCTTGTTGCCTTGAAGGTGTAAGGCAGGAGTCCCGAAAATTGGCCGTTTTATGACTTGTGGACTTCAACTCCCAGAATTCTCCAGCCAGCTATGCTGGCTGGAGAATTCTGGGAGTTGAAGTCCACAAAATCTTAAAGTGGCCAAGTTTGGAGACCTCTGGTTTAAGGAATCCTGTTTGACCTCCAGGCCACCCACAGCCCTTCTCTCCCCAATTCCTTTGCCTACCTCTCTGAGATCATCTGACCATTCTTTCCTTTCTATCCTGCATCTCTCTGGCAAAGCCGTTTCTCACCACTGCTACCGAGAGCTAAAACTCCTGTGGCTTCTGTCAAAAGAGGACAAAAGATAGATGTGTGTATGTGTTGATACACACACACACCTACACCTACACACTTACATACAAGACACACACGCCGGGCAGTTTGTCATTCTAAGGGCAAGTACCAGAAGATCCTACGGAGCCCAGTTAAGAGCGAAGGACCAAACTGGGCGCTTTGGGGGAATGAAAACCTGAGTCCAGTTTCTTGGAACTTCTGCAGGGAGTTCCCTGTTGGCTTATTTGGGGGGATGTGTGGTAAATCTGCCAACCCCGCCCCCTGCCCCTGAGTTTGTAGGATGGGTTGTTGTTTTTCCTTTGTTCAGAGATGCCGGACAGCTCGGACAACTCTTCTGTCTGTGGTTTTGTTTTCCCCTTGGTGTCGGCCAAAACAAATAATAAACCTGATTAAAAATAATAATAATAATAATAACAACAAAAAAGAATGACTTCAAGTATGAGTGACATTTACAGTGGACGGTGATCCCGCCCCCCCACCCTCCCAGAAGCAAAAATGGGGGAACTTTGTTCCTTGGTCACATTCCGAAGCTTTGCCGGATTTTTAAAAATGGGAGGCTTTTTTTTTTGGCTCCTCGTTGAGTCCGATGGGCAAGATAATGCTGCAACCAAACAATAAACCCCAAAAGAATGTTCTTCTCCAACCGAATCCTCTTGCAATCCTTCTCTTCTTCTTCCTCCTCCTCCTCCTCCTCCTCCTCCTCCTCCTCCTCTCCCTGCTATCCCCCCCCCTCTTCCTGTCCCTACCCCCCCAAAAAATATAAAAAAGCAAGAAGTTTTACAAAAATAGAAAATAATTACAGCAATAGCCGGGTGGAGGGAAGAGAGAGAGGCAGAGGGAGAGGAGGAGAGGCCGGATCGTTTCATTTGGCTGCGCAGTGTAATATGGTGGGGTTGTTCAAAGCATCCTCTACCAGATGGAGTTCTTGGCGGTCCACCACCACGTCTCGTATGCAGCCCACGAAGCCAGTGAGGAAAGATTTGGGAAGCTTGTGGGCCAGGCTCAGCTTCTCCAACCCACCTGTGAGAAGAGAACTTAGTGTCAGGATTCCGGCAGTTACCCCCCGCCCCATTTAAATCATGAGTCTCGAGCCCAACTTCCAAAAGGATTTCTTTGGAGTTAACATGTCCGGCACTGCCTGAGTGTAACCGACTCTGAGATACGTTTGTTAAGGAGGCCTTGCAGGGTCCCAAAGACTCATTTCTGGCAGAGTTTGGGGGAGAGAAAGGAAGACTGTTGCTATTTTCCTTGCGTGCAGCCAAAAGCAGAAGAAGAAAGAAGCGGAAAGAAGCAGCCCGGTGGCCAGGCCAGGCGTGTGGGGTGAGTGGGGCAAGTTCCCCCCCTCTGCCCTTCCCCTCATCACCTTGTGTTGTTTGCAATGCAAGTAGCGCAAGCCTTGTGTTCCTGCGGGCCATGTGGGCGGCGCAGCCTCGTGTTCCCACGCAGCCTGGATTAATTGCTTTGAGGGTGACATTTCTCTGCAGACCACCAAAATTTTCTCACGGACCACCAGTGATCCCCGGCCCACAGGTTGGCGACCACTATGCCCTCTCCCATCTGGAGAACCCAACCCACGTCCTGGCTAATGTCAGTGCTATTAAGATGATTGGGTTCTTTAGAAGAGGTCCAGCTGGGGGGCGATGTGGTTGCGCTCATGAACTCACCCAGCCAAAGGGCCCCGTCTGTGTCCAGCTGAGTTGCTCCGAGAGGCGAGGAACCCATGATGGGAGATTCGTTGCCGACTTGGAGGGACCCATCGCGATGGACTCTGCCGGAAGAAGAGACACATAAGGGCAACGCATGGGGAGGTCTCCCATCACACGTTCCTACGGACCAACCTTCTCCGTGTTGAAGACCTCCAGATGTTAACCGTGTCTATAGGAATGTTGGCAATTGCACCCAATCATCATTTGTGGCGCAGTGGTTAGAATACAGTACTGCAGGCTGCTTCTCCTGACTGCTGGCTACCGGCAGTCCAAATCTCACTGGCTCAAAACTGACTCAGCTTCCGTCCTTCCAAGGTGGGTAAAATGAGGACCCAGATTGTTGGGGGCAAGAGGCTGACTCTGCAAACCGCTTAGAGAGGGCCGTTAAAGCGCTGTGAAGCGGTATATAAGTCTTAAGTACTATTGCTATCTTTCTTCCTCCCTTCCCCTCTCCCCACCCACTTCTTTCCCAGTAGTTAGAATGCAGTATTGCAAGCTAACTCTGCCCACTGCCAGCAGTTCGATCCTGACCGACTGGCTCAAGGTGGACTCAGCCTTCCCGAGGTGGGTAAAATGAGGACCCGGATTGTTGGGGGCAAGAGGCTGGCTTTTTCCCAATGGACAAAGAAATAGAAGTTAGAAACTTAAAAGTTTAAGAGAATGATTAACTATATCATGAAAATCTATTAGTATGGATAAGCCACTACTACTACTATTATTATTATTATTATTATTATTATTATTATTATTATATTGTGTGATTATTATCAATGCTATGAATATTATTACTATTATTATTTTTCAAAAACTGTCCTCAGACAACACACAGCTCATGTAAATATTGAGTTTTTACGTTTACTAAAGAAAAATGCATGAATAAAATATACTGTATTTTTTTTTTAAAAAAGCTATGATCCTTTTTCCAACGGCCAAAGGGATAGATGAGCTTATGATTCTCCCCTCACCTGGACGCTTTGATCTGAATCCACTGGTTCGTGTTGATTGGGACGGTAGACCGAAGGATCACGGGTTTGGAGCCAAGGTCGTAGGTCATTTGGACCCGGCCGTCCACGATGGCCAAAGCGATGTAGTCTGATCGATCCAGACCCTTCCCGCTCCACAAGATGAGTCCCTGGGTGGCTTCAGTTTTGACGCTCAGCTCGAAGTAGTTGGACTGCAGAGCCTTCTCGCTGCATGGGGATGGAAAGGGGAAGTCAGCTCGGGAAGTGGGGGTGGTGGTTCCCCCTTTTGGTAGCCCACTCCATCCAGACCAGATGACCTCTTGGCCTCTTTGGGTTTGAAATATTTCTTGGCAACTTAATCTATTGTTCTTGGCAGCCTTGCGTGATCTCGGCAAGGCTCGTTCTTATTGGAGACAGTTAGTTTGAAACAGCCTTTTAACCGGGAAGGAACGAAATTCGTAAAGAATCATTAAAAGGTTTTGCTGTTACCTCCGTTTGGGGTTTGTTTCCTTGGCACAAGGTTTGGGTCAGAACTTGGGCTTTATTGTGGTCTTAAGTTGAACCCTTACCTGCAAATGGTAGGAAGTTAACCTGGCCCCGGGAAGTTTTTCAAGTTTTTATTTTTGTTTTTGAAAGGCTGCGCTGTAGATTTGTGCAATTTAAGATCTTGGGGACAATGTAGCTTTTGAAGCCCAGAATGAGATGACCGGCTAACCAGAATCAATTTCTCTTAAGATCTCGTTTATTCCCTGCCAAGGGATCTCTTCTCCTTGAGAGATTCGATGGTAGCAGAGAAAATCAACATCCTGGTTAGAGTTTTTCACCCGTCACAGAGCATGATATACACATGGATACACACATCTACACAAGACGAGACACACCACAACACGGGATTACAAGGACACTGTTTCCTTCCTCCCCACCCCGCCGGACCCAGGGGAGAAATGGATCGCTCTGGGCAAAAACTATTTGAGATAAAAGTGGGGAATTGGCTGTTTAAAAACCTGGAGCTGAAAAATCACCTTTAGAGGAGGAGGCAACTACAAATAAGTGGAGCCTCCATGTTCAGAGGCAGTATACCCCGACAACATTGGATGCTGGGGAACAGCCTACAGAGAAAGGAAGCTGCCTTTGTGCCCTATAAAAGGATCCTAGTTTTTAACTGGAGTTTAATCAGCGGTATTTCCTGTTTAAGGGTTTCCTGCCTGAGTAGCGGGTTGGGCTAGAAGACCTTCAAAGGTCCCTTCCAACTCTCTTATTCTAACAACATGCTTAAATAGCAGCATGAGGAGAACTGGAATTACTGTGTAAGCCTCAATTACCTGTGATCAGCTACACTCCAGAAAAAAAATAAAAATAAACCACATTCCTGTTTTTTTTTTTCCCCTCTTCGTTGCTTGTTTTCCGGCTAAAACAGATCTGTTCTTTATCACATCTGCGAGCACAATTAGAAATTCCCTAAATTAAAACTGCTTCCTTTATAGCAGCCTCAGCGGCTGTCAGCTCCAATGTTGGCCCTTTTTATAAACTTTTTTATTTTGTTCTGCAACTGTTCGGGTGAACTCCTTAAAGCCATTTAGATCATGGAAACCCACCCACCCCGCTAAGCCCTGCAAAACTGGCTGTCTCCTCTGGGCCACATCCTTTAGGATAGCGCGAAACCCATCTGCTCTGGAATTAACAATTAATGGACCAGATTAATGATTAATTGGCGAGATGTTGGGGGTGTTATCCGTAAAATCCACATTTGGGGCTGTAGGGATGAATTCAAGCATCCACACCCCCTGGAATTGGGGGAAACTGAGGCCTGGATTCTGGGGTTAGATGAAATCACCCGGATTAAGAGAAGGGACCTGTAGAAGAACGATGAAAAAGGGAATCAAAATTTGTCGGTTTCTTTGAGAGGGAGGGTTGTGGATCCCTCGAAGTTTATTTATGCCTTCGAGACCCAGCTTGGAAAATGAGAGTAGCCAAGATCTGGATGACTAGGGTTTGGTTTTGCTAGCCAAACGTGGTTTAATCTTAGGAAGTTGTGGGAGCTTCATCCCTGGAGGCTTTCGAGAAAGAGACCGGACTGTCCGAAATTGGTTGTAGGCAGGATCTCCTGCTTGGACGGGGGTTGGACTAGATGACCTTACGAGGTCCCTTCCAACTTTTTGTTAATCTGTTAAAGAAGCGGAATCTAGGTGAAGATTCAAAGCTGGGTTTTGAATCCAGCCCAGCTCTCTCTGCCCCCAAGGAAACCCACGAATAGCCCACGGAAGCGAATTGATAAGAAACCGGAAATAACATGAGGCTGGAGCAATCATGCAGGTGAGCCAACATGGGGGGAACAGCGAGAACAGCAGTGAGATCTGCAAGCATACACCTGCTTCGACGAAGACTCACCTGAGGTCCAGATGATAATCCAAAGCATCGGGACTTAGAAGCAGAAAGAAAGCGGAGGCATGCATTAAGCACTGGGATAAAACGAGGAACCGATCGAGGAGGAAAAGCGGCTAGTCCCTAAGAAACCCATCCTTTTTTGGGGTGGGGGCGGCTTTCCCAGATACAGATTGGAAAGAAGACATACGAGCCAATTCAGGCTTGAAATAACCCTTTCAAGCTTGAAATGGGTTGTTCTGTATTGAAACCGGTTCAAAAGAGGAAGAGTTTGTGCACCAGAGGATGTGCGCCAGAGAGAAACTTTCCGTATTATTATTGCTATCATTTACACTCTCAAGGTATTGCTGTCGAATCAGGAGAACATGCCGAGGGGAAATTCGGAATGGTTAACAACTCGTAGAGTGACTTTAATCTTGGGTTAGAATGGATGAGGGTTAAACGAAGGGAGGGATTATGAGTGGGGGGGGGGGGGGGGAAGAGAAAAGGGAAGAAAGTCAAACAAACACACACCCGGGCTTCCCTCCGTTTCATATCCCATGTCATTATTTCCATTGTGCAAATTGGGATTTCTCTCTGAAACTAATTCAGAGCTGGGCATGTGTGGAAAGAAAGAAAAAGAAAGAAAGAAAGAAAGAAAGAAAGAAAGAAAGAAAGAAAGAAAGAAAGAAAGAAAGAGAGAGAGAGAGAGAGAGAGAGAAAGAGAGAGAGAGAGAAAGAAAGAGAGAGAGAGAGAGAGAAAGAAAGAAAGAAAGAAAGAGAGAGAGAGAAAGAGAAAGAGAGAGAGAGAAAGAAAGAAAGAGAGAGAGAGAAAGAAAGAGAAAGAGAGAGAAAGAGAGAGAGAGAAAGAAAGAAAGAGAGAGAGAGAAAGAAAGAAAGAAAGAAAGAAAGAAAGAAAGAAAGAAAGAAAGAAAGAAAGAAAGAAAGAAAGAAAAAGAAAGAAAAGAAAGAAAGAAAGAGGAGGGAAGGGAAGGAAAGGAGGAAAGGGAAAGAGAAGGAAGATTTTGAGAACAGAGGTTGCCCCAACATTCTCTCCCCATATAAAAGGAAAATGATCCCCAAACTTAGATTCTTGGAAACAAACTGAGGCATTTATTCAAGACATTTCAATTCCACAAATACGGGGAATATTGATTTTTCTCCTTCTGAATTGGATCTGAGGTCCCCTCAGACAGCTTTCAGCCCTAAAGGCTCAGCAGGGCCACTCAACCTTTGCTAAAGCTGATCAGGCTCACAAGCTCTTTTGCTCAATTGTGAAGTCTGGAAATTAATTAAAACAAAAACAAAAAAACTGAACTTTTACCGAACGGGGAAAACCCTCACACTTCACAATGGCTGAATATTTTCCACTTGGCTCTTTATGATCATCATTATTTTTGGATCCGTTTCTTTTTAAACACAGTTATGGTTTCGTTTGGACCGTCAAGCTCACACGTGGAAATATACCACCCTCTAAAAACAGAGGTGTGTATTTTGCAGAAGCAGATGGCCAGGATTCCTGCTTTAAATCTCGATTATTTTTTTCCCCCTCCACTTGCAAGAGAAAGAACCTGATTGTCATTTTTTTTCCCCCTGAGATTCCTTTGGTTTTGTTTTGTTTTTTCTATCGTTGGGAAACCAAGTCACGGAAAACTGAGGATGGACTTTGTCCCAGTTGCCGTTTCCCTGAGTCCTTTTCGAGATTAGGGTGGAGGCCTGAAGCTATCCGGGATGTCAACAAACCACATCTCTGTCCCAATTCTTGGATGGCTTGGATTTTTAGTCTTGGGTTTAAGCGAAGGGGCGACAGACAACCTGCGAGATCTTCTTGGGGCTTCCAAGGTTTGATTTCTCAAGAGGCCCCTTGGGTGGGAAGAGATTTTAAAGGATGGATCGGCAAGCAGGGAGGATGGTGGCCGGTGAGAAAGTGACGGAGAATGGAGGTGTTTACTTACGCTGGAATCTCATTGGTCAGTTGGCTTGCAAATGAAACAAAAATACAAAGGTGGTTGAGGACAGAGAGAAGGAAAGAATGAAAGAAAAAAAGAAGGGGAAGAAAAGAGCCACAACATATCACATTCTCCAAAGGGACTCCCCGACTCTGGAAGCGGAAAGTTGTTTAGCGGAGTCCCGCAAAGGCCAGGACGTCTAAGACATCCTGGATTTGGAGAATGATTAATCAGCCAAGAATGAGACGGACAGAAACAAGACACACAAGTGGGCAGACACAATAGGTTGGGTGAGCCGAATGGAGCATCCCTCTGCAGGAGCAGTAGATCTGCAGACTGCGTCGACTAAAAATGGGCTTAAGGAGAAAGAGCGCAGCTTTCGTTACATCAACTTCGGAAAGGAGGTTGGGGATAAAGGTAAGACGGGGAAGATTTCCCCATCCTACAGGCTAAAAATACCAGCTGCCAAGGTTGAGATTGTGGGTGGGACTTGTTGGTCTTGGCTCCGCCCAAAGGAGGCGGGCTTGTAAGAAAAAGGGCTTCCTCCCTTCGGCCAGATTTTAAATTCGGGCCAAACTCTGTTGGTTTTAACCTCCCCAAATCTCGCCCCCCTCCACCCCACCACCGGTCATTACCTCTTGGTAACAGCATTATGGTATTCGATGTAGGTCCAGCCGTCGAAGGCGATGGCGTCGGAGTCTCCAGCTGCCTTCTCGGTGAGGACTGGAGGGAAGGAAGCAAAACCTGAGAACAGTCCGCCGGTGCCCGATTGAGACCCCACACCCATAATCCCCAGCCAGCAGGGCCAAGAGGAGGGACTGTATCTCAGCTTTGGTGGGGCAGAGACCCAGAATTTTGATCATTTCAGGCTGGCAAATATGCCTTCCAAATCCCACTTCTTGAGAAAATAGCAAGAGCGCTTACTACTTATATACCGCTTCGCAGGGCTTCACATCCCTCTCTAAGTGGTTTAGAGAGTCTATGGCCCCCAACAATCTGGGTCCTCAACTATACCAACCTCGGAAGGATGGAAGGCTGAGTCAACCTTGAGCCGGTCAGGATCGAACTCCTGGCAGTGGGCAGAGTCAGCCTGCAATAGCGCATTCTAATCAATGCACCCCTACAGCTCTTGGGGTTCCCTAGCCCCAAACTGTGATTCAACAGAAAGAAGCTGTCAACTCACAAAGCATTTCTGTGCCTGTTTTGAGTTGCCGTAAACAAGGGAGGGGGGAGAAATCTGAAGGAGCATTATGGCAGTTTAGAAACAGAAGTACATCCCACCCTTATCTACAAAGATTGTAGCTAGGCTACCGGATCTTCTGCCCTCGAAAATCCTTTATTGGAGAATGTGATTGATGACGCCCAGCCCGTGAATGTGCTTAATTGGAGAATCTGATTTATGACACACCCGGGGGGAAGGGGGAAACAGGGTCACAGATGATGTATGCCGTAAATGACGTATGCCGGAGTTGGCTTCATTTAGATTAATGCCAGCATATTGCTCCTAATAAATCTTTTGAATTTTTTTGAAGTTTGTCTCGAGGCTCATGATTTAATTAGGGCAATCGCCGGAACCCTGACAGAACCTTGAACTGTCCTGGGAGGGACCCCAACCAGGTTGGGAAAAGCCTTCTACCTCTTCTGCACCATCAAGGACCAGTCTGGCTGCGGAAGAGAGAGTCAAGATCTCCTTCCAAGGTTTTCTCGGCCAACCCAGACTCACCTTTCTCGCAGTGGGTCCCGAAGAAGCCTCTGGGACAGGTGCATTCATAGCTCTCCAAACGGGGTTGGCAGGTCCCGCTGTTCTGGCAAGGGCTGGGCTTCTGAGTGCAGGGATGGGAGCGGAAAGGGGAAATCTCAACAGCGCTGCGGATGTTCTTCTCTTTCAGGATGGGGGTCCCTTTGATGGAAATCTGAGCCGTCGGAGAGGAAGAAGGAAGGGAGAATTAGAGCCTTAATGGCAGACTTTTAAAAACACGAGACTAATGGACTGCCGAGTCCCACCTCAGGGATCAAAGAAGCCAACCGGATTCGGATTGGTCCCTTCCTGATGTAATGGCCATAATTCTCAGCTAGCATGGTTAATTATCCTACTGGGTGGTAATTATGGAAGCTGCTATCCCATAAAGTCCTAAAGGATGGTAGGTTGAAGGGGTCTGGTCTACTCTAACAACTTCCAGAAGAAGAGAACGTTCAACCAACATCTGGTGAGTTTCTAGAGGACCAAGCAACCTTCTTTCTAGCTAATGCTTTCGTTCTCAAGTAGTTCTCACCATCATAATTTCCTCCGACCGTTCAACTGAAAACTTATCTTACTTGTGGGATCCAGTCCTAACTGCTAGCAAAGAACCAACTGGATCCTTCTCTCCTTTGATGCTTTTTCCCATGAGGTTTATTTTCCTAGCGATTAGGGGACCAGGATGATTAGGGGACTGGAGGCTAAAACATACAATAAACAGGCCTGGCTAGTCTAGGGAAGAGAAGGACCAGGGGAGACAGGAGAGCAGCCTTCCAATATTTGAGGGGCTGCCACAGAGAGGAGGAAGGGGTCAAACTATTCTCCAAAGCACCCAAAGGCCAGAGAAGGAATAATGGATGGACACTGAATAAGGAGAAATTCAACCTGGAAATAAGGAGAAACTTTCTGACAG